GTTTGGGACGGACTATAGATTGGTAACAGAGATAGCCAAGGCCAAATCATGTTCGGATTTGGCGCCCATTCGTATGGTGGCGCTGCTAGTCTCTTTCCTGCGCGGAGGGAGTGTGCTGTGGAAAATTCAAAGTTGAGTTTAGACAAATACGGCGCCATATTTGTATTTGTTTTATCTTTTATAATTTAAAATTTTTTATATCAGTGGTGCAAAAAGGTACAATTTTAGACGATTTTTTATTATGGACTCGAACACATTACATGGAATAACAATGTAGAGACGAAGAACTGAACAAAAAAGATGTGTTTCAGATTGCATGGATACTACTGGCAAACAATATAGTTTTTCTTATATGGATATGTTTGATAAATGGGCGAATGTTGTTAAGAGCCCTAATTATAGAGTGCTGCAACAGAAACCATTTATAACAATTTTCGTGTATGCGCTAGTCATTTTAAAGAGGACGATATAATTAATGTTGGACATACCGGTATTACGAGAACAGCCCTTCTGAGTTTGTTTTTACCAGCACCAGGTAAGAACTATTATGCCAATACATGTATGTATGTGACATGTGACCTTTTACTTATAAAATTAGTTAAATATAAATTTAACCTAAAATTATATATTCTAAAATCAGTCTTACTTGCTTACAATTTGAATTATTTTGTAGGTGGTGGTTCAACAACTATCTTAAAAATCATCACCTTAGAGAGGGTTCGACATAAATTTCTACAGGTGTGCGCCTTTCAAAGTTGGATTAGATTAGCAGACCATGACTACACTATCATATGGAGAGGTCTTTGAGCTTGCCTGTTAAGTGCGAGGAGGGATCTGTGCTTTCTTGTGAGTGATATTGGTCTTAGAGTACCACATTACCATGGTTTGTCTCATCTATGTACTTTTAATGTTCCATTTTGTAGAACAACCTAAATCTAAATGTATTTAATATGTCTCTGAATAAATATATAAATATTAGTAGAAAAGAGTTACTGGTAACATAGAGTTTGGAAACTTAACTTTGTAAAATACTTCATGTTTTTATTGTAACTAGGTAATACTTTACATATTTTTTTATTTTTAATGTTATTTTTCCATCTTTATAGTGCTGGATCTTAGAATCTTAGAGCTAACTGTTTGGTTTATAGGTTTAAATATGACTAAAAATATTATCATATAAATGTATATAAAGTTCTTTCTAGAACTAAATCATTTAATTTTTCTGTTTCCAACTTAGCAGAGTTCTGTCTTTCTGTGAGTAGAACGCCAGACAGTAAGAGTTCTCACTGCCCTAATAGCACATGTACGTCCAGTGGACGTCCATAGTACGTCCCTCGCGGACTTTAGGGACGTCCCTCGAACGTCCGCTTTGGTCCTATTTACGTCCGTTTTACATCCTATATTGGTCCGAATGTCGCTGCGAAAAACGTCCTATGGACGTCCATTTTACGTCCCGAGCGGACGTAAAATGGACGTACCGGGACGTTAATTGGACCTTAATCGGACGTCCATAATACGTCCAGAGAACTTACTTGACGGACTTTTGTGATATTTTCGGACATCTATTTTAGCGCTCAGGATGTAAATTAGACGTCAAATGCAACATTATAGAAATATAAAATAATTTTGTGTAATAAAACATATATGTTTAAAGGAACTAACATTTATTATTACATATATTTATTTATTATTAACAAATGGAACAAATTCACTGTCAAAATTATATAAAAATGCAACATTATAGAAATATAGACAAAATTAGAGATAAAATAAAATATAGATGAATAAAATAAATAAGTACACATTTTATAATAAGTTTCATTTAGCATTTAAGTGCTTCAAATAGTACCTAAAGCTATTGATATGAAAGTTTTAGACCATCTCTATGTGTGAAACATAATTAGTTCTGTGGTAAGGAACATGGAAATGTAAATTCTGACACAGTGAATGGGAAGGAATATGGAAACAAACTAGCTGAAGCAATTCAGTAGATTGGTTATTTTATAAACAAGTTGAAAAATAAAGATTAAAAGGTAACACTTTTGATAAGAGAATCCAGATTCAAGAAATTGATCATATAAGAATATGGTCTACACAATTTACAAGAACAGTTGATGCTTGTAGATGAGTCAGTATAAATCTAATCAACATAAAAATGGTTTTTAATGCAATTATAACATAATCAGTGTAAATTAGTTGAAGTTGAACAACTAGACAGTAAGTAAACCACCCTGACCAGTATGAAGCTGATTCTTCAAATTTACTGTCAAAAAATCAGTCAGTAAAGCCTCGACAATTTTAAGAATAGCAGAAAGAATTATAATGGAACGATAATTAGGAATCAATGAGTTAAGGATAAAATCAATAAATAAATTGTGATGAAAAGTGACCCTCAGTCAGAGATTTATAAAAAATAAGCCATAGATGCCTACATAAAAAGAATGCACAATTCCCTAAAAATAAGTTAAGATATTATGTCTGGACCAAGACCTTTATTGGTATTAAGACACTGTAAGCATGCGTCACAAATTTTAACAGTTAAAAGAGTGAATATGGCTGTTACTGATATGGGATCTTTGACTACACTTGTCTACACAAGAGAAAGAAGGATTATGAATACTGCTAAAGAAATTGACAAAATTGTTGAAATTGTGGTTCTTAAAAACAGAACCATTCAACTTCCCTTATCCCTTCCCATTCTAATTTCCCTTACAATTGTGTGGTCAGCAATTAAAAGCGGACATTTAAATTGTTGAGTTTTAAAGTTGAAATCATAAGTATGAAAAAGATCAATACCTAATATGGAACTTTGTCTGTTTTCTTTCAACAGTAGATTAATTTTTAGGTGTTTATTTTTAATATATAAAACAGTCTCAAAAATTGGACTGTTCCTTTGTGTCCATGAACTACACAATCTAATCATTACAAAATTAGTCATATTTGCTAATGCAACATGCAAGTTAAATTTTATCTGCCCTCTATTTAAATATTTCCTCAGATATTTCATTATCAAGTTTCAACTTCCTTCCCCATGGCAACGCTGGTTTTGGAGTTTTTCCAAGCAACATCTGAAAACAAAATTAATGTACATTCATAAATTGAATAAACTAATTTCAGATTTACTTCATTATACTTTGCTTCTTGTGAATAAATCATAATTCAAAGTAAAATTAAACACACGAATTTCAAGTGCTGTAGTTTTAATGAATCTCACCTGAATTAGAAGAATACCAACTCAACCATTGGTATTTATTTCTAATGACCAAATGAGCAGTAATTACACTTTTATATGTAAAAAATAAAAATAACTGTTCATGAATGTGTTGCTTGTGTGAGTCCATATCAAATAGGTAAAGAAATAATAATAAGACTTACTCACAATCAATTTAATTTAACAATCTGACGACCGGTTTCGCTTTCTACAATTTGCAAAGCATCTTCAGGTCTAGATACAAAGTTAAACTAATGCTGCAATAAAATAAACCCAATTAGGGTGGTGTCTAATAAAGATAAAATAAACAAATAAGTTAGTTCATACAAATTATAGTAATTATGCCAATATTACATGTCTGTGGTTTCCAAAATGAATAAATTTGAATATATAAAAGGTATTAACAGACAAGGTAAGACCCACAATTGGTATAAAGTAGCAATATTATATTGTAATAAATTAATACATGGGCAAATAAATAAAACAAAACAAACATTACTTACATGCCGGTACTCTATTAATTGATGGATGGTAGGTCATGGTTGCAAAAATCATGTATTGTTGATTGGAGAACCTTAATGTGCCATTGCAGTTGTTTTGACAATAAACGGGAAGTTCTTGAGGAGAACAGATTTGATCCAATGAATTAGAGATAGGTATATTGTGGTTGTTTGTCAGATGAAAGTGATGTTCTTTACTATTGTATTATTTAAATTATTTACACTTATATCAGAGATATATTTTTTGGAATGTGTGTTATTTATTGAGTATTTATGTAATGAAGGAGACTATGTCTTACTTATTACTTATTACTTATTAGAATTAGCAAACATATATCATCGTGATAACTAGAATAATAAAACAATTGTAACGAATTATCTAGAAATAAAATATTTTTACACTTTACCTTAAACAAAAACATGTTTTGGATATATTAAACTATACAATTTTTAATTAATCATGATTTAACCTTTTCGCTTTTAATTATTTTATTAACGCAAATAATTTTTTATTTTATTAAAATATTTGCTATTTGATCCCATAATTGGTAAATGTCAGATGTCCAGAAAACGTCCGAGTTCGGACGTCCAGGGAACGTCCGAGTATGGACGTCCATGGAACGTCCGGGTACGGACGTCCAGAGAACGTCCATATTTAGTCCACCCAAAGTACGTCCCACTTCGTACGTCCATAGTACGTCCATTTTACGTCCAGGGACGTCCGGACCAAAACTGGACGTATATTGGACGTCCATAGGACGTCGTGTGTTACTAGGGTGACCGCTGGTAGTGTGTGTTAATAGATTAGGATGTAAGTACTACAAAGAACTCAGAATGTCTGACGGCTGTCTGTTGCTTATTAGGCTTTAATTTGAATTAGAATTAAAAAAAAAATTATTTAATTACTGACAAGTTCTTGTCTTGTAGTATAATTTACAACACTAAATTATACTACATTTTTCAGTCCCTATTTGTGAACAAAATATTGCAACTATCTTGGTTTATTTTTAGTTCCAGCTGATTTACAGCTAGATTGAAAATCTGAATTTTCCAATCTTGGTTCATTCATCAATCCAATCATCAGGTTTTTGAACAGGTAAATTTTCTGTCACATCTGGTATTGATTTAGTAGTGGAATTCTCTAACTAACTTAGATATAGCTAATTTTCATCAATGTTTCCATATTAAATACCTAATTTAAATAATTCTGGTAAATAGTTAAGACTAAAAAATAAATAAGTGATTCTCAATTCATATTGTTATTATATTATTGTCTAATATTGTTACAGATCATGGGAAGAAGTTAACACGTGAAGAACGATTACAGAAGAAACGTGAAGCGGAGAAATTACGATATCAAAAGATTAAAAATGATCCAGAAAAATATGAATTGCAAAAGCAAAAAGAAAAGCAAAAATATTTAAATAAGAAGGAGAAAGGACTTATAAAGACTGTCGATCAAATGACTCCTAGAGAGCAACGTAAGGCACAGAAGATATGGAGAAAGAAAGCCAGTGAGCGAAGGCAACGACTTGTGCTTCAAAATATAACTAATCATTCGGTAACGCCATCGATGTCAGATGTTAATGATCAAAGTTTTAATTCCCATAAAAGGGTTGTAGCTGCCAAACATAAATCAGACCGAGCCAGAAGACAAAGATATTTAGATAATAAGAAAAAAGATGAGACCATAAATAAACTTAAAACTAGATTAGCATGTTACAGAAAAAGATTACAAAGATTACGAAAGCCTGAAAAACTAACACCTAACAGCAAAGTAGAACAGATGTTGAATTCTCCAAGTTCCAGAGACACAGTGAAGAAAAATTTATTGTTTGCAGAAGTGCTCAATCAACAATTAAAAGAAAATTATTCTTCTCTTCCAAGTAATAAAGAAAAAAGAATTTTCAAAAGAATGATAAGTGGAAAACTGGTGAGAAAATACGGCATACTACAAAATGAAAAAAATATGAAACCTTTAAGAAAAATTGGATACGTACAACTACTGGAAAATAAAAGGAAAGCCAAAACAAATTGTGAAATTATCAAGAGAAAAATTATAAATTTTCTCCAAGATGATTCGAATACGAGGTTGTGTGCCGGCAAAAGAAATTATTTGACGAAGAAAGGAGATCGTAAACAAAAGAGAGTTCTCGTGGATACTCTAAGAAATCTCCACATATCTTTCATGAAAAACTGCAACATTAAAATATCCTATTCTCGATTCTGTCGCCTTAAGCCATTTTGGATAATACAACCGAATTGCGACAAACGTGACTTGTTTGTGCGTTACACACGCCAATATGGATCTGATGCTCACAGCTCTATATCAAGCTAAGATTATCTTTGTATCAAAGCATCAAAATCTGCTTCATATAATTTGTTGCAATAGGTATAACGAACAGTGTCTTTCTCGAGAATGCTTAACTTGTAAAAATAAAGGACTGAAATAAAAATAATTTGATAATAGTATTCAAATTGTCTACAGGAAGTGGGAATCTGTCTCCACCAATATAACTGATCCAAAATCACATAAGGAAAGAAAAGTGACTAAATATTTGAAAAAATCTCTACAGATTTGTCCTCGTGATTTGGTTATGCAATTAGAATATAATTTGGACAATTTTTTTCAACACGAACTGAACATAGTCCACCAGCACTCTGGTCTTAGGATTAAAAAAACAAATTTAACTGTAAAAGAAGCTGTGTTTCATATGGACTTTAGTGAAAACTATTTAACTAAATACGCAGAAGAGATTCAGGCATTCCATTTTGGAGGTTCGCGTCAACAGATAAGTCTGCACACGGTCGTCAGCTACACAAAAGAAGAAGCATCAGGTGAATTAAAAACTACTTGCTATTGTTCGTTGTCACAAAATTTGTTACATTCACCTCTAGCTATATGGGCACACTTACAGCTCATTTTGAACATCCTGCCACCCGCAGTAGAGATTCTCCATTTCTGGAGCGATGGACCCGTGACACAATACCGCAACAAATACATGTTTTACTTTCTTGTCACCCATTTAACAGAATTCTACCCAAACCTTACACACTTTACGTGGAACTACCATGAAGCTGGACACGGTAAGGGGGCTCCTGATGGAGTCGGAGCTGTTTGCAAGAGATTTGCAGACAGATTAGTGGCTAGTGGTCAAGATATTGCATCTCTGAGCAATTTGTCAAATGCTATTCAGAAAAACTATCCTAGCATCAACGTTTTTGTTATTGACGACGAAAGTATCCTTGAGAAAGAAGCTTTGATTGCTAGTTGTAAAGAACAAATAAAGAGTTTCCCCGGTACATTGCGTGTCCATCAAGTGTCATGGAGCATAGAAGATCCAAAAAATTTGAAAATGAAGTCTTTATGCTGCTTTTGCAATGGAAATTGTGATCATTTCAAAATTGGTGTCATAATATACTCCGATAATAAAAAGGCTCCTCTCCGAGTCGAGGATGTTTATGGACCGAATTCGGAGTCCGAGAACGAGAATCCATATGATAGTGAACAACTCACTACACCAAAAGATGGCAAGCACCAAAAAGATAATGATCAACAACCATCAACATCCAAAAAAACATTTAAAAACGGTGATTTTATTCTTGTCAAACTATTCTCTAAAAAACAGAGTACCGTTACGTGGCTCTGTGTACGGGTTTGGAAGAAGATGACGAAATACAGGTAGTTTTCTGTAAAATAGGGGACAAAACTGGAAAGGTATTTAAGGTAGAAGAAAACGATATTTCATTCATCTCAGAAGATCAAATTGTTCAGACACTACCTATGCCAACTCTTATTTTGAAAGGGCAGAGGATGTTTTACTCTTTCAGAGTCCGTGAATGTGTTTGAGAAAGCTTAAGAATTTGTATTTTGATAGTGTAGGCAAAAGAGTGCATTTTTTGTTTGTTGTTTTTATGTTATTTTAGAATTATTACATGTTCATTTATTAAAATGTAGCAAAGGTACAGGTAATATGAAAATTAACCTGGTTATCGCAAGTCTGGCTATTTGTATTACTTAAAAGACTTATATATATATTTAGTATGAATAAAAGAATGTTATTGTTTGTTGTAACCACAAAAATATTTTGTATGACATGTTAATTCCATATAAAAAATGTGTGTAATGTCAAGAAGATGAAAGACAATTTTGCTTTAAGTCTTTAATGAAAAGAGGCTGAAATAAGTCTGATTTATGTTTAATGTGATTGGTAAAAATGATAGTATGATTCTATGTTAAATATCATGGTTAATTAAATTTGATTTTACTATTTTTGTTACTTTTACTGCCACAAATTCTCTCCCCTGGCCAAATAAGTATCTACCCTGATCTTGATGTCTCTACCCTGCCCAATATATTTACCCTGGCTTTGTAAAAAGTAATAAAATATACATAAAGTGACTTGCCCTTATGTGAAAAGATAGTTAAGTCACACAGTTAAAAACTGTGTCCTTTTAAAAAATTTTGATATCTTAGCAGTTAGTGAAACTTGGCTTACAAATTTCATTACCGATAAGGATATAGGTATAGATGGGTATAATGTGATAAGAAGAGATAGAAATGGAATTGGGGGAGGTGTGGCATTTTATATCAAATCTCAAATTAAATATCAAAACTTTACAAACAAATCGTAACAATATTGAACACCTTTGCTTAGAATTATTCTTACGTAATAAATCATATGGATTGTGTGTTGCATACAAACCACCTAAATTGAATGTCAGATATTTTGTTGACGAGTTTGAGAATATACTATCTAATATTATACCTTTGGTTGAAACATTATATTGTGCTGGTGACTTTAATGTTAATTTATTAAATACGGATTGTCCTGATACTAAGATTGTCTCTGATTTTTTTGAAACAATGGGGTTACATGAAATCATAGATCAACCGACTAGAATCACATCTAGTACTGTAATCCTTATTGATTATATGTTAACCACTAAACGAAATTCGATTCGTGATATTGCCGTAGAATGTGTTGATTTCAGTGACCATGAGTTGTTGATATCCAAAATAAACATAGAAACTAAAAAGAAAGAAGTTGTTTCTAAAACTGTCAGAAACTTAAAGGCAATAGATCATACCATATTTTATGAAGAATTACAGTCTCTACCTTGGCGAAATATTTTTGATATTGAGAGTATTGATGATAAAGTTGAATTTCTTACTAATAATATAATATGCTTACTGGATCGTCATGCTCCCTACGTAACTTATAAAATTTCGAAAAATTATGCACCATGGATGACTGATACTTTACGTATTATGAAAGAGAAAGGGATAAAATACTGAGTACGTACAAAAAATACAAAAACATGCAAACTTGGGAGGAATACAAAACGATTAGAAATATGTTTACTTAACTGTCAGAAGAGAAAAAAAAGCCTTTTATTCAAACAAATTGGATAATAAAAATGGGAGAGATCTTTGGGATTCTTTAAAAATGATAGGTCTTGGTAGAGATACTGATAATACTAAGCAACTATCAGAAAATTTAAGTGATATTTCTGCAATGAATGAATACTTTATAAATTGTATTCCTAATATGAATCCTGATTTAACAATTAACAACTTTTATAATAATAATTTTCGTGTGGACATCGGTGCAAATTTCTCTTGTGTCCAAGAAAGTGACATTTTAAATGTCATTAAAAGTATCAAGAGTGCTGCTACCGGATGCGACAAAATAAATATACTAACAATAATGTGCCTTCCGTTTTTATTACCGTATTTGATGCATATTATCAATGTTTGCATTATAAGAGCAGAGTTTCCATCGATGTGGAAAGTTGCTAAAATTGTACCGATACCGAAAACTAATAATCCGACAGGTTTTAATGAAATACGACCGATTAGTATACTACCTACTTTTTCAAAAATCCTAGAGAAAATTTTAAATCAGCAACTACAGGTTCACTTAGATAAACATAAAATTCTGCCAGAAAATCAGTCCAGTTTCAAAAAGGATCACAGCTGCACTAGTGCCCTTTTAAAAATAACTGATGACATATTTGGTGGTTGCGATAATGGCTTAATTACAGTGCTGATTCTTTCGGATTATTCCAAAGCTTTTGATACGCTTGACCATTCTCTGTTGATTTCAATGTTTAAGTAGGTATATTGGTATGTCTAAGCAGGCATCTGATATGCTATTCAGTTATCTTAATAATAGAAGTCAAGCTATTCATTACAATGGTAAGACATCAAACTATCTTAAAACAAATAAAGGGGTACCACAGAGCTCTATATTGGGTCCCAAATTATTTAGTATATATACTTCAAACTTTCCCACTCATTTTCTCTCCTGTAATCAGCACTATTTTGCTGATTACACTCAGATCTACTTATCCTTTAAGCCTGATGAGTTTAAATAGGCAGTGGCTGCAATTAATTATGATTTAGAAAGAGTTTCTCAATTTTCCTCTAGCCATTGTCTTCGGCTTAATAACAATAAATCTGTAGGTATAGTTTTTGGTCCAGTGACACAAAAAGAAATATTTCTGAGAGATTTTGCTCTTATGATCACCATTGATAATTCTTCGATAGAAGTTAAGGCAACTGTCAAAAACTTAGGCTTACATATAGATCATAACTTAAGATTTGGTGATCATGTGAACAAGTGCTTGCAGAAAAGTTATATAAATTTGAAATTTATATTTCAATCCCGTCATATATTGACCAAAGACTTAAAAAAAATTGCTGTGTGATACCTTGGCGTTATCACATTTTAACTATTGCGATTCTATTTATAATTCATGTATTACAGAACGTGATAGTTATCGAATACAAAAAATGCAAAATTCTTGCCTTCGTTTGATACATGGTATCCGCAGAAATCAACCAATAAGTTACAAACTTAAAGAAACAGTTTGGTTAAGTATGAAACTCAGACGACATTTTCATTCAGCTTGTCAATTCCAAAAAATTATTATTTTTAAAACCACACCATATCTCTATAATAAAATAAAATTCCGGGAATAACTCGAATCGAGACTCATTAGTAAGGTGTCGATAAATTTCAGCTCCGAATAAAACGTGTTTTTTGTTGGTTTATACCAAAAATTTAAATACAAGTTTGTACTAAGAATGAAATTAAAGTGTCTTCTAATTACAGAAAAGAAAAATTGTAAGTACAATTTTTATTTGATCCAGATAAAACCATTTAAAGAATATTATTGAAAACTTAACAGAAGATCTATTTTTATTTCAAATAAAAACGCCGATAAGCCGGCTTAATTACCTTAAGTCAGTAGCGGCTCTAGTATAATTATACTAAATGAAGAAATTAAAAATTAAAAATGGATAACAATTTAAAAACAGACACAGTAATCACCAAACCATTATTAACATCTTCAACACCAACCTCTTCTTCAACATTAACCTACTCTAATGCCGTAAGCAGCTTTAACTTTCCATCCAAAAAACAAGCAATTGTTTTGTCATCAGTACCAGATATAAAAATACACGAATACATAACAGCAATAGGAACTTTAGTACAACCAAAAAATATCATCTTCGCGTCCAGAATTTCAAATAACAGAGTATGCATATATCTCACTAACACTACAATCCTAGAAAAATTACTACATAATCACAAATCCGTTTCAATACAAGGAAACGACATAGAAATTAGAAGATTAATTACTCCTGCGAGCCGACTAGTGATATCAAATGTCTGCCCCAGTATTCCAAACACTATTATCGAAGAAGAGCTCAAAAAATTGGAGCTTATTGCAGTGTCTAAAATAACATTTTTAAAAGTTGGCATGCCTGAATCTGAATACAATCATATATTAAGCTTTAGACGTCAAGTATTTGTTGCTCCAACAACTAATAATCATATCCCAACTTCACTTCTAATATCTCATGACAATACCCCCTACAGAATTTATCTTTCCTTAGATGGCCTAAATTGCTCTAAATGTAATACTACAGGACACAAAGATGAAAACTGCACTATCGAACCAATTAATTTACAAAATATTGATCAGCTATCTCAATCTATAAATGTTAATATTTCTGAAACAGAAAATTATCCAATAAATAAAACATCCCTTACATCAGAAACCCCAACTGCTCATCAATCCAGTACTCCTGCTGCTACTTCCTCAACCAGATCACTACCAAATACCTCCTCCCACTCACAAAACCTACCTGAATCACTATCTAATAATACCAACATAATATCACACACTTCTATAAAAAGACAAATGTCAACATCTCCTGAAATAATACAGTCAGAAAATCAAAAAATAATAATTCCTGCTCCAAAGAAATCTGCACCTAAAAGGATTAAAAAAGCTTTGAACATCGAAACCTCAATGAAACCTATAGAAGCCATTTTATCGTCAGCTACTATTCCTTACACACTAAAATACACAGAACTATGCGACTATATTACAAATGCTATAGTACAAGGACTTAGCGCTGAATTGCAAATGGTACACACAAACACAAACGATCGACGTCTTAAAAACAACATTTCAAGAATCTTAAAGAAGATACATGGAACAGACAACTCTTCTATTACTGAGGAAGAAAGCGACAGCAACTCTATCCAATAACCAAATTCGTAGTTCAATGGAATTTGAATGGCTTTTACAGCCATATCGAAAACTTAAAAATATTAATCAATGAATTCTCACCTCTAGTAATATGTTTACAAGAAACACGACTTTC